CTTTGAGTCTTGTGAGGATCTAGGATGGATTTTTTAGGATATGCTGGTATGAATTACGGATTATTCTCTTGGCTGAGTCCTTGTAGGAATCTGCCTTCATAAGGCTTAATGTGCTAGGCTTTGAGCCTTGACTAGACTCTAGCTGGATTGGGCTAAGGGAGACTGGTGATTGAACTTCATGCTGGGCTTGGGTTTGGCTTGGGATGGACTGCGATGGTCTGTGGATTTAGCTGAGCTGGGTTGCGAAACAGATTAAACAGAATCTGTCTCTGGGAGGATATTGACTAATATATGAAATTAGCTAATTTTTTTCAGGGCTCTGGATTTATCAGAGTTGGGTTGGGGCTGTGTTGAATGAGTTCTTTTTTTTGAGGAAGATCAGCCCTGAGCTAACATCCATGCTAATCCTCCTCTTTTTGCTGAGGAAGACTGGCTCTGAGCTAACATCTATTGCTAATCCTCCTCCTTTTTTTCCCCCAAAGCCCCAGTAGATAGTTGCATGTCATAGCTGCACATCCTTCTATTTGCTGTATGTGGGATGCGGCCTCAGCATGGCCGGAGAAGTGGTGCGTCAGTGCACGCCCGGGATCCGAACCCGGGCCGCCAGTAGCAGAGCACGCACACTTAACCACTAAGACACGGGGCCAGCCCTGAATGAGTTCTATCTCTGTATTTGGGCAGCTGTAAACAGGGCTTTGGGATGGGTTTTGGATTGTCCTAAAATGAATCAATGGATGTATTGAATTGAATTGATTTTCCAGGTAGACAGGGATGGGCTTTAGTTGGGGTTATTAATAGGATGCTGGGCTCAACAAGGTTTTGACTGTTTCTGAGCTGAGGTTGTGAATGGCCTGTCCTATAGAATGCCATCAAGGGTATCTTGCTCTAGACTACAGTTCTGCCTCTGGGCTTAAAGTTATTATTGGTACTTTTGCTTTTCCTATGACCAAAAGCTATCATTCAGCTGATTCAGATTCCTTAGAAACTTTGTTGTTCTGAGTGATAAATTGCTTCTGGGAATGCGTTCTTGGCTTTTTACAAATGGTAGTCCTATGGAGGACAAGCATGAAGGAAATATCATAACAATGAAAAGAGACTATTTTTACTAAATGATGTTTTGCCTTAGGAGGCTATGGGATGCCACCAAAGCCCAAGGACCAGTGGGACCTCCAAAAACTTGGCAAACATTGGACCTATTTGATTAACACAGAATTTGGTGGAGAGTGTCGGATCTGTCCACATTGCAGACAAATATTTTTAAGGAAAGAAATTCCCAAGTTTTCTTGGGTAGTCTCTGTTATCTAGAGCATATTCCAAAACCTTTGCCAAAAACCCAGACAAAAGATACTTTAGTGCCCAATGAAATTCTTGGAAGATTAGATGGCAATGTTATCAGGACAGCAAACTTTGTTTTTGACAGCTTGACAAAAGGGGTTCAGTCACATGTATTGGAGAGTGGGGGACAAGTAAGGGGGAGTGATTCACTGGAGGCTGGTAGACAGGAGATCGTATTTAACAATTTCTATCTCAAAGAAGGAAGCCTGGCAAATTGAGGTATAACAGTAACTACGGTGCAGGACTAAAGCCTTAAGATGATCAAACTAGTAAGACAAACTCTCCAATCCTTTGGAAGGCAGGAAACTTAAAATTCCTGGTATCCTAAAATATCATAGGGTCCTTCCTTGTGGCATATAAAACATTCAAACATTTGCAAGTTACCCCTTTATTCCTCTCTCTTCTTGAAAGAGAAGTTTCCTCTTCCTAGAAACCCAGTACAGTCTAACATTCCCCTGCACTACTCCACTGAAATGCTCCTTGGTGACACAACGACACTTGTGTCAAATCAATGGGGTTTTCTCAGGGCTTATCCTCCTGACTTCCACAGTATCTGGCATTGCTGACTGCTTCTTCCTCCAAGAAACTCTTCTCTGCCTGGACCCCCAGGTTTCCACTCAAACACTTCCACATGCTGGTTAATATGCCCTTGTGTTTCTCCAACCCCAGAAATATCTATCCATAGCCCCAACATCACCATTTATATTGTTCTTCCATTGACTTGACTTTGAGAGGCAGAGGAGTTCCTTCCAAACCTCACGTTTCTATCTCTATGGACCTTGAGAAGCCAGTTGATCTCCTCCAGAACATTGGGTTCCTTGGAAGGGATTAGGAGCTCGGACGCCCTTAGTCCAATCAGAGCATTGAGAGTTCCCTCAAGAAGTTGGTAACATTTGTGTAAGGGGATCTTGTTATTTAGATATCTCTGAAGTGTGAAATTAATCTGGGACATGCTAGCAGGAGCCCATCAGAGACTCTTTGCAAGTTCTCCTCCAACCTCAAGTGACTGATCCACCTCTCCCATTTCTCTAATGCACTAATTATAAGGCTGCTACATCCTAACAACCAAAGGAAAATGTTGCCAATTTGAAGAACCTGAAAATGTCTCCTCTTGCAGACCTGCCAAGTCACCAAGTTGTGATCATGCCAGGGGCTTCATTTACCCCTGTAAATGTAGACTGTATATCTTTGTTCTACTTCAACATTCCCTGAGAATAACCATATCTCCACAGCTCAATGTCAAGTTGGCTTCATGGGCGTATTTGGAGGACACCTCTGCATAGTGAATGAGACTAGCCCCAAACTCTCTAATTGGAAGAGGCACCTGGAATGGATTTCTCTGGGCTAGAGGGAGAGCAGGGTAGAGCCACTTTAAGACCTAGAGATGGCCAACATGTATTAATAGACGTCTTCCTAGAATATTGGAAGAAAGGCAGAGGCAGCTAAGACATTCAAGTGTCTGAATCCCTCTAACCACCTCTCTGTCCTCTAAAGCATCATCTTTGTCCCAAAGGAGCCTCTTCCACTTTCTCCCCTTCCCCATAACTTTGTTTCATACTGAATTTCCTTTCCCCTCTGGGAGCTGTGCCCTCACCTATCTTTAATAACGGTGTCTCTAACTCTGAAGAGCTCTATCAGGACACTTCTGATTCCCTTCCGGATTAACTTTCTAAACTGTAAAGCTCTCAAGATAGTCCTCTGTCACTCAAACTCTAAAGGACCTAAGAGGTCCCTAGGGCATGAGGATGGGAGAAGACATTCTTGATGCCTCCCTGACTTCTCTTGTCCTCCAAGTCCATTTCCACATTCATGCTCTTTCTTATTCTTTGCCAATCTTGTCACCCACAAATGTTCTCTTCACTATGTTTTCTTATCTCATATTCCTTTCCTAGTCAATTTCCCCTGGTTTCTTGCTTTCATTTACCCACTTAATTTCTGTAGATTTTCCCACCTTCTTTCTCAACATAGAGCTGCAATGGGACCTTCAATCCTTTGGGGAAGGAGAAAGTATGGGAAAGGAAGACTTGGACAAGCTAGAGTATTTTAATCTCCCCCCAATTATTTTTTCCTGAGAGCAGTAATTCCCAAAGTATGGGTGTCAATAGGTGTTATTTGAAAAGAACAGTTTCATAGTCAAGTATATCTGAAAAATACTATCAGACAATTTTTTCCTTAAAGAAATTCTCAAAGCTTTAACATGATATGAGACACTTCCTAGTTGTCTATTATTGCATAACAAATTGCCCTCAAAATTAGAGGCTTAAAACATGAATACGAATTCATTATCTCATAATTTCTGCAAGTTAGGAATCTGAGTTTGGCTTAGCTGAGTGGTTCTGGCTTGGGGGTCTCTCATGAGGGTGCAGTCAAGATGCTAGCAAGGGCTGCAGTCATCTGAAGGCTTGACTGGGGCTAGAGGATCCACTTCCAAGATGGATCACTTACATCGCTGGCAAATTGATGCTGGCTGTCAACAGATTTCAGTTTCTTACCACATGAATTCCTCCATAGGACTGCTGGAGTGACCTCACAACGTGGCATTGGGCTCCCCAGAGCAAGTGATCCAAGAAGGCAAGGAGGAAACCATGATATCTTTGATAACCTAGCCTCAGAAGTCACACACCACCATTTCCACAATATCATATTAACTCCACACACATTTTATTCAGTGTGGGAGAGGGAGTATATACCAGGAGGTGAGGAACGCTGGGGATCATTTTGGAGGCAGGCTAGCACAATGCAGTATGAATTTCTAAAACTTAGAGGCTCACAAGTGGAGGGGAAGATGTGTGTCTGGAGAAATAATCCTGGAAAATGGAGTATGAGCGTGTATTAAGGACTCCCAAAGTGGAAGACATAAAACTAAAACTTGATTCCTGTCTGGAACCAGGCGTCCCTCACTTTAGAGGATCCCTCACCTTAGAAATGCTAACACAGGACTTCCTTGTCAGTCCCAAACTGTTTGGAAGGTTAATACTCTTGTAAGCCATTTACTTCCTCTGCCCTAAATCAAAGGTAGGGTGAAAAAAGTCAAAGTTCACAGGCTGAAAAGAACTTATCACAGAATCTCTGAAATCTGGAGGTGGAGACAATCTAGAATACTCAGCTGTTCCATGCCAGGAGCAGCCTTCTCTGTGGGACTGTTTATGCTGTTTTCAGCCACATTACTGGACCCCAACAGTCTCTTCTATGATCTGCACTAAAAGTACAGTAAGGTCATTTGGATGATTCAGATCACAAAGGCGCCGTTCTTCTCTACTTCATCACACAACGGCTTGTCTGCAAAAGTCCCAGCCTGGGGTCCGAGCCACGGTGCTTGGAAATGTCAGTTCTCATCAAATGTTTACAGTGACCTTATCAGCAGACGTAGGATAGGAAAGGAAAAGACAGGGATAAAAAGGCTAGAGAGTGAGAGAGAACTAGGAATGTGAATGTGAGGTAGTGGTGAAAGGGAGAAAGGGAAGATGCCTGAGAAAAAGGAAGGAATGAGAAAAAGGCCCAGCCACACTCCCACGAAGGCCGAAAAGTGCTTTCGCCGTCTTCGGCCACAAGGTGGCACCCTTTGAACTTTCTTGCCCCATCAAAATGGGAAAGGGGGGTAGAGAGGAGGGAGAAAAGGCAAAGCACTCCCCCAACCAAGAACAATTTGAAAACCCACCCCATAATATTTAAAATCTGGGACAAAGAACCGACAGGACGGAACTGCTTCAATTGCAAAACCTCAGCGCAGCCTCCGGAGCGGCCAGCCGGCCCGAGTCAGGAGCAGCCCCTTTAAAAAAACGGAGTACAGTATTGGGATTCTTGAAACTCGAAACCTAGAAACAGAATCGAAGCGGAAACCAGAAGGAAAACCTTGAACTCCTCCAGACAATTGCTTCCGGGGAGTTTCAGGAGCGCGAGGGGGAATAAAGGGCCCGAGAGGAGGGCCCCTCGGATGGCGCGCCCCTGAGGGTCCTGGCGAGTTCGAGAAGCGTGGGAAGGAGAGGACCCTACCCTCTCCCTGGGCTGCAGGTCATGGCCACCGTGGAGCAGAAAGCCCTTGGCATTGGCTTCAAGTGTCTCTCTTTGGCCACTTTTGTGCTCATCTGCGCCGGGCAAGGGGGACGCAGGGAGGAAGGGGGTCCAGCCTGCTACGGGGGATTTGACCTGTACTTCATTTTGGACAAGTAAGTGCCGTGAGTTGTTCCACCCTGGGCTAAGCTGACGATGCTTTCTCCCCGGCTGGGCTTGTTGGCAGGGTCGCTTTGGGACAGGCTCGCATCTCCAGGGACCAAGAGCGCTGCGCCTTTGTCGAGGGCGCGCGCCTCCCCATCCTTCTCCTCCGGTGCCCGAGCCCCCGCAGGGGAGGCGTCGCTGTTTGTTTGGGGACAAACTTCTTTTCTGCCTTGCTTTCTGTGATCGAGGAGCGTGAGTTTGAGGAGAGGAGTGTGAGGATGCTGTTGACCTACTACGCTTCTGTGAATCCTTCCCATTTGCTTTAGAAACTTTGGTGGGAAAAGCTTGCTTAGGAGAGGCAGAACTTTAGGGCACGTCTAAAGTAAGAGGTGCGGGCTTTTAAAAGCCTATCATCTCTTTTTTAAAAAACCCTGTTTTACATAATTCATTACCTTTGTTCCTAATAATGTAATGCACACTGACTGGACAGTTAGTAAAAACAGGCGAATTTCTAAACCTCGTCATCATTGAGTTTTAGGCTGGGAAATTCTTTGTTGTGAGGCTGTCCTGTGCGTTGTAGGGCGTTTAGCAGCATCCCTGGCCTTACCCACTAGATGCCAGTACCACCTCCCTCCATTCTCTGCGTGCCCCCCCCACCCCTAGTCCGCAGTGGTGACAACCAAAAATGTCTCTAGACATTGCCAAAAGTCCCCTACGAGTAAATTCCCCCTCCCGCTCTGCTTGATGTAGGCGAATTCAAGTTCTTGACTGGTGGGCTACCAGGGAGGTGCAGGAGCCCTGGTTTCCTTCTGAAAACGGATAGTGGTTAGGCTTTAGGACTGTGCTAAAGGGAGAGCTGAACTCTGACCAGTTAAACACTTCCCAAATCCCCCTTAGATTTGCCAAGCCGCCGTCATTCAAGGAAGCTTCATGCTATCTGCTAAAAACCAACTTCAACAATAAAAAGCCCCTCAGAGAAGATCCATGCTGGTTAAAACTATGTGAGTTCCCCGGTGCCAGGGGAGGAGCTTGCTGTTACAGTGGTGGGGAGATGCATTTCACAGACTGGAAAGTATTTGGGAGTTGGAAAAGGAGTCCTGCAAAATAAGCCAGCCAGCTAGACACCAAATGTGCTTTGCAGTTGCCCCTGGAGTTTGGTTTTTCCGTAAAGGCTGTTTTGAACTCCAGATTCTTTGGATGAAAAGTGAGATCTCTTTCTTGCAGATTTATGAGAAGGTGGATACTGAAAATATACTCCAGTGCTAAGAAATGGAATTTCTTTTGTCACTTCTAATGGCTGGGAGCAACAGCTCACAGATTCGGAGACTGTATGAAAACAGTCAGAGATGCCCTTCATTGTGCTTTTTTTTCCAAAAAAAAAAAAAAGCTCAGAAGGACATAAAAGGGAGACTTGAAAAAATGGACAGAATCACCATGTCCCTAAATGGAAGGACTCCATACTGTAGAGATAATCAACTCTCCTCAAATTGATTTATAAATTGAATTAAACTTTTCAATCGAAGTTCTGAAAGAAATTATTTTGGTGATGACAGAAATTTAACAAAATGATTTTAGGTTTATCTTAGAGGAAAAAGAACAGGTAAAAAGAGCTAAAACATCTTTGGAAAAGAATAATGAAGAAATACATATACTTCCAAATATTAATAAGTATTATAAGGCAAATTAATAAAAACAGGATGGTAAAGGCAAAGGATTGGTGGACAGAATAGAAAATCTAGAAATAGATCCAAGGACATGTAAGCATTTAATGGAAGTTCAGATCAGTGGGGAATGAATTCATTATTTTAAAAAATGATTCTTGGACAAATGGTTGGTAACAGTGAAAAAGATTAGATTTATGCTTTACACCACGCACCAAAATAAATTCCAGAAGGATTGAAAATTTAAATGTTTAAAATGAAATGACAAAAGAACTAGAAGAAAATTTGGATGAATACTACTGTAATCTTAGATTTAGAGCTTTTAAAACAAGGCAGAAACAATAAAGAAAACCATAAAAAGATTTAAATATATTAAAATTTTACAGTTCTATAAGTGAAAAAAATGCCATAAATAAAAGATAATAACAAGTTATAAAAACTTTTGCAACATAAATTACTCTTTATAGAGTGACCTTAATGTATAAAAAGCAGTTGAAAAAAGATGATCCCAATAGAAAATAGGCTTACTATATAAATAATTCACAAAAAACATATATGAAAGTCAATAAACAAAGAAAAAAATTCAACTTCACTAGTAAAAAAATGAAAATATCAAACTACGTAATTTTTATTAAGTTGGCAAAGATTTTTAAAGAATTGCAATATTCAGTATTGGCAAACTTGCGGGAGATAGGCACCATCATATCTTACTAAGGAAAACGTAAATTGGTACGGTCTTCCTAGACGTGCACTGTCCAACAGACCTCTCTATGATAATGGAAACGTTCTACATCTATCTGCGCTGTCCAGTATGGTAGCTACTAGCCACATGTAGCTATTGAGCACTTGAAATGTGGCTAGTGCAACTGAGAAAATGAACTTTCTGTTCTATTTAAAAGTTTAATTCATATAAATTTAAATAGCCACATCTGGCTACCATGTTGGATAGCACAGACAAGAAGATAATTTGTCAACATGTATCAAAGTAAAAATCCAAGATAGTCAGGAGGAAGTATCTATATGTATATTTATGGCAGTGCTGTTTAAATAATAAAGCTAAAAATTACCTAAATGTTCAACAATGCGGGATTTATTAAGTTATGCTTGTTCTGTGCAGAATATTGAATATGCATAGTATGCATGCTTGTAAGATATTTTAGGAGAAATATTTAATGCTTATAGTATACTCTTAGGTGAAAATACAATTACCAAACATTATGTGCATTACAGTTCTACCTTTGTAAAAAAGCTAAACATGCACATGTATATATCTCTATTTACCCAATAGGTAACAGTATTTCTCTCTAGAAGATAGGACTTTTAACTTCTGTTTTTATGCTTTTATGAATTTTCAAAATTTTCTACAATGAACATATGTTACTTTTATATTCAACAAAAATAAGTGACTTTGAGTTTTTAAAAACTCCTTTCAAGTGTGAGGAGGGTCTCTAACCAGCATGCTGAGCTCCAAGCCCCTCGCAATTATACAGGATGCTGCTTCTTTGATATTTAATCCTGGAGTAAATTTCTAAATGCACCATAGGATCCTTTGCAGTAAAATGGGGACACAAAAATGCTCCGGAGAAAAAAATGGTGAGGAGACCTTTAAAGGTACCTACCTTTACGTTTAGGTGGACTCCTCTGACTTCCTTCCGTTGTCCTATTGCTTGAAGAGAGGGGTATTTTTGTGCTGAATGAAAAACTTGCTAGAATTTGGTGTGATTGCATGCACACCTCCAGCTTGCCATCTCAATCCAGGCTAATTTATGTGATGGTTGAGCCCAGAGCTTGGGGGATGGGCCAAAAGGCAGTGATGGCAAACAGGCCCCCTGGGTGGTCCCTAAAGACATGGTCTTCTGTCCTAGAAAGAACCTCCTCAAACAGTGCTGTCCAGCACCCAACCACAGCAGAGTGGAAAGGGAAAGAATGCTGATGCATTTTTTTCCTTGGGCTTCTAAGATCCTGGCTGGCAAGACGCTGTCTACAGGCTGAAACCAGTGGATCACAGGACACTGAATTCACCATTCTTCTCCTCACCCCTCAATTCCCTTCTTCCCAGTAAATGGTTCTCTTCTTTTCCATGGCATTAAGTCTCAGCTCATTTCAGCTTTAAGCAGGATGCATCTCTGGCCTGGAGGGAACCCAGATTATACATTTAATGGAATGTCATGTTTTCTCAACCAGGAGCAAAGACTTCATAATGATAACCTAGACCACCACAGTAACACAATAGGGCATTATTAGCGGCTTTGGCGACGGGGCTGGTGGACTGGGCTTCTCAAGGCTTTACACTGATGGAATTTCATGTTCATTTAAACATGCTTTTCTGGTTACAGTCAGGAAAAATAGATTGCTGAGAATTCAATCAGGGATTTGAAAAGTCAGATTTGGAAGTCCTCTGTCCAGAGAAAAACAGTCAGGAGCAGCTAGCCTCCCTTAAGTCTTCCAGGGGATCCTCTAAGATGAATACACTCAGTTGACCAACCCACAGACATAAATGTACATTTCCTCTCTCACAGGGCTCTTCCGCCATTACACTATATATTTATGTATCACATATTGACCTATTTTATAGAGAGCTATTATTAGTCACTTAAATGGTAAAAGTAGATTCTCCATCATCAGTCTTGGGGAAGTGCTGTTATATTCATGTGTGCCCTAAAGACTTCAAAAGGAGTGGAGGAGATTATGGGCTGGAGGGTGACAGCAAGCACTGAATAGCTTTATTTATAGGACTTCCCAAAGCCACAGCCTGTCACTCAATCAATCCTTCCATTTGTAAAGGCCCTCCACAGGCTCACATGTGCTCCTTCCCCATCAGAGCCCCAGAACTCCTCCCTCTGCCTTCTTTTTGTTCAGTACCAATTTTCTCTTTTTCTATTCCCACATACAAGGGGACCCCATCTTGCCACTCACCCAGACCTCCAACTGCAACACTCATAATTAGATGCTCTCGTGGTGGTGATGATCTGTAGGACCGTTACTATGTGTTATACCTCAGGGATATGGTCATAAAATAGGTTTTTATAGCATTAGACTGGGACCCTCACCACCAGGTATAGTATTGTTTTTCTGGGAAAATACCTTCTGGGTTTCCAGCTGCTAACTTACAAAAGAAATCTTTAGAGTCAGAACTAAATTTTCCCAATACTTATGGCATCTCACAAGTGACCCAAAGACATCCTTGCTCGGTACCAGGGCAAGCACTGCTGTCTCTAATTTACAGATGAGAAAACTGTTCAACCTTTGTCAACCCACTGGATTAAGTGACCTGCCCAAGGACCTAGGATTAGATCATGACAGAGCTGGGATGATGTCTGCTTCTGAATCCCAGCCCAGCTCTTTCCACT